ACTCATCGTTTCATGGCACGGTCTTTCAGCGCACCGTATCACATTCATCACATGTTCATGCCCAATGCAGTATATGCTTTGGAAGCTCAAAGTTATGGTGCAGTAAAATGTTTGGTCGTTCACTAATCCGTTGCTTGACTCAGAACGGTTGCATGCGTTGTTCTGGAAAAGGTCTTCATAATGTGCAAGCTTGCCAACTAAGGGGCGTCGCAGAGGAGTTTTCCATTTTGCAGATGTCACGTGATGCTCTTGCGACGGCGGCTCACAGCCGGCCCTGTCGCTGAACCGCTCTCAAAATAAATACAGCCACCGAATACCTGCGTCGTTGCATGGTCCTAGTGGTTCCATGTTGCTATGGCTGGATGCCTGCTTTGATCACCCAAACACCACCAGGGTGAAGTTGTGCCTCAATGTTTACCTGTGCGGCCTGTGGGATCATATGCTCGGCTAGGTCTGCGGCACAAGAATGTAATGTCTGTCAAGGATGACATGGCTTCTTGCGACCACTTGCAGCTTCGGGGAATTTAGGCAGCTGGTCACCAGCCGACATCTCTTCGACCATCTGATGGGTCGTGTTTCCTCGCTGTTTGCGACACACGCCAGCACCGAACCGGGCGAGACTGCTACGAAAACGTGATGCCGCCGGTCAAGAGCTCTCGCAGGTGCTGTCCTGTCCATTTAGGATATCGCACCGCAGTAACCAATGGCTGAACTCATCACTGATGTAGGTTGTTAAATTCACTTGTCTGGCAGTCAAGCTCGTCAGTACACGCACACTTGTCCAGTGAAAGTCATACAGAGAATTCAGCAGGCACGGCTGATGGACACTGCAATTCTAAAATGTTCGAATATTGTCCAGGCACCGAGACGCTCAAGACCTATGTGCGTAGTATTCCTCACCAGCCAATCACAACGCATTTTTACTGCTCAAGGCTACCAGGAGCTGCACAGTATTCTACTCGAATCAGTTTATTATGTAGTTGTCTGGACGACCTGCAACCAACTAGCACATGCAAACCGAGCCTCATAAATGGCTCGCTTAGCATCAAAGGCCCGTGTACTGTGGATTACCTTAGCAACAAATACCCGTGTCCTGTGGCTTACCTACTTGCTCGCAAAGCCAACAAGATCTCCAGCTTTGTAAGTCTGGGGTGGTAAATATTCATTCTGAAAATGCAGTCAGTCTGGAAAACCTTATTATGAACAGCCATGTACGCCTTTTTTTGCCTTTCAGACATCTCATTTGATCAGAAGATACCGTGAGAAACAGTGAATGTCTCAGAGGTAAGATTTGAGCTTAAGTTACTAATTGACGACTCGGGGCTGTGCACAGTCACACTTAATCTACTTCCAGTTGATGTTTCTCTGTGTAGTGTATCATAATACAATATTGCTGTGCTTAGACCTGTATGCATTACTTGTTTAGAAAAGTTGAGATTCCCTGCGGCTGGCTGATGCGCCATCCGCTGCATTATGGGCAGCCATGTTTAACTGTACTTTTCCATGGTATCACCCATTCTTGATTACAAAGAAGGAGCATTTTTGTTGGGTTTCCATTGACCGCTTTCCTGGAGAACAGATTTCCTTAAGCTTTGGCGCTACGTGCTTATAAAAAAACTAAGACCGGGCCCAGGATATTTTGCAACGCCGAAATTACACCGTGTGTCACATGATTGAGCTGGCTCAGCGGCAACAAAACATATGTCACCAACCAGAATCGGTGTGGCAATCACTCTCACATACTCCTACGCAAACAGAAGATCCTGCACTGAAACTGCCTCCTAACAGCATTTTTGTTTCATGATGCAAAACGTCTTCAGCGAACCAGCATTGGCTGATGTGCTTCTTGAAAGATGTAAGCAGAATGAATGTTTGTCATTATTACTCATGTTTAATGATGACCGTAGCTAAGACCTCAGATACTGGCAGACGAGCCACTAACATCCGAGGCGTTTCTTCACCATTGCCTGCCGGTACGTCTTCGTCAGTAGCGTTTCTTGGCTGTGTGGTTACGTCCCACCTCCCCCATATCTCCCAGCCTCCCCACACACCTCCTGCTGTGGGACAGATCCAAGCGCGGATAAAATACGAAGGTTACGGGTGCAAAGTTCTATCACGCTCATCGTATAAGTCACACTGCCGGATTGCCTGCCAAAACGTCACCCATGCAGTTGAACGTGCTATGCTTATCGCATGCAATGCCTCATGACGACGCAGCCCGTACTTTTGCAGGACATTTTTTTTTAAGTGAGAAGCTGTTGAGGGCAACGGCGTCCGTGCGGGCTTCAATTGCTTGCCTACGGCTCCAACGGGCTGCCTACGGCTCCATCGGGCTACCTACGGCTCCATCGGGGGGCCTGCGGATCCAATGACGTGCCTGCGGCTCCAATGGGATGCCTGGGCTCAAGCGGGGGCCTGCGGCTTCAACAAAGCGTGAGCGGCAGCTGGTGTTCTCTGTCCCATGAGACCCGTCTCAGCCTGCCTCTCTGGCCGGACCAGCCGGATGCAGAATGACAGGCAGCCTGGCCGTCCAGTCCGGTCCGGTGCGGTCCGGCGTGGTTCGGGAGACCACCGTTGGTCTGTCCGGTCATCCGGCCTCGGACGTATGTTTGGAAGCCGTCCGCACGCCGCCGGTAACGTATAAACCCGCGTAGGACATGACGGCACATTTCTTTTCACAGAAACGGACGAAAACGGGTGAGATGACCCGGACTTGTCTTGAATCTCGCGGCTTGCACCCCTGAACCGCGATCCCTAGTCCCATGTGCCCTCATAAATTTGTGGGGACAGTGCACTGGGCCCAGCGGCGAACAAAAACGACGGCTCACCAACGACACAGCCGTGGATGATTTTACGATTAATAAACTATCACCGAGGGTCCCCCGAGTCCACTGAGAACACATCCGTGATTTACATCGCGGGAGGGAACTGCCAGGTGTCACGACGTGGCAATCTAGCATTGTCGTCGCTCGCTTTTTGCTCGATCGCTAAAGCGCATATCTTACGAGATTTCTGCCCGGCCCGCGAGGCGCAACGCAAACAATGTGCTGACCCCTGGCGTCAGGCGAAATAGAGCCGTCAGGCGACAGTTCAGTCTCACGCGGCGGAGGTCTGGCTTCCATCAGTGCAGGCCGCGACGGGGGGAATCTGCCGCTGCGGCTGGACCGAGCGGTTGCCGACCGGAGCCGCCATGGGACACGAGCTCCAGATCAGCGTCGTATTCGCGTGTGGTGGTCAGGAGCGCGCGCACCCCCAGCACTAGGAGCGGTCATCCCGTGGGCCGACGTCTTGGGTCGACGTCCCGTGAGCCGATGTCTCGGGGCTGGCATCCCGTGACCCGATGGCTCCAGGCGGTCATCCCGTGGGCTGATGTCTCATGGCCTGCATCCCGTGGGCCGATGTCTCGGACCAGGCATCCTGTGGGCCGATGTCTCGGACCAGGCACCACGTGGGTCAATGTCTCAGGGCCGCCATCCCATGAGGCGATGTCTCGGACCATGTATCTCTTGGGCCGATGTCTCGGACCATGCATCCTGTGAGCCGATGCCTCGGGCCATGCATCCCGTGAGCCGATGTCCTGGGGCATGGCCGTGACCGGACCGGTCTGCTTGTGATTTATCAACACCGTCGGGTGAACAGATCAGCTGTTTTTGCGTCACTTGATCAGGCTCAGACAGGGGTTGCGGGCGGCTTTTTATGTGTTGGCAAGAGCTGCGACTGATGCTATCGGATTCGAGACCGTTGGAAAATGTCAGAGACATGCACTTCCTAGGCGTAAAGGGCAGTAACATCTGAAATACAAAGTACACAAAAAGATGCTCCCACGTGTTGTCGCGCGATCGTGACCGTGTAACTGTGCGGCGTCGCTTCAACTTACCGGCATCGCTGTCCGGCGGCGTTGTGGACTTCCTAGACTAAAGGGCAGGAACATCTGCAACACACGGTATGTAAGCAGCTGCTCCCACTTGTTGGCTCGCGATTCTCACCACGCATTGCGCGGCGTCGCTTTGGATCGTGGTGTCAGCTCCCAAGATATGATGCGCTAACGGCGCAGCGTGTTGACAATTTCTCGACGCGTTTGTCTCCCGTTAGGATTCGACGCACTTCGGGTTAGCGACGTGTGGAAATACGTGAAAGGAGCGTGCACGACGTGCAGTTCCGTTGAACTCTGTAAATGCGCATTGCATGCGGCTGGTCTTACTGATATTGTTTCTACTTGTTTGTCATAACAAGCCCCGTAGCCCAGCCTTTATTGCATACCGCAGCAGCGAGAGGACGCTGCTTCGCCATCTCTGGCGCAGACGTAGCAACCATTGCCTTGCCTCTCTTACATCCCTGCCGCTACCTTTTATCTGAGCTGTGTAAGGAAGGGCAAGATTACAGGTGAAGATGGGCAGTGTCTCATGTTAAAGCAAAACCACACAAGCATGACATGAACACTTTTACGGCAGTGAAAGTAAGAGGTAAGTGGTTAGTCGGTTACTTGGAAACACAGCGATTTGAAGAAACACGCTTAGGATTCTCGTCTTTGAAATATGCGGTGCAATACATGCAGGCTAATTTGCTATCATTATGTTTTACCCACATCCACCGCACTTTTGAAACCTAGCGAGACGATGCGAGGGACACAGGCCTAAACACAGCCACGTGGGCCTCGCTTCGCCATCTTTCCGTCCGCACGATGTCAGTGACGGGCGCTGTGTGCCGCACACACGGCTCCGCCCCTGTTGCGTAGGTGCAGGTCTCTGTTTCCCCGGCACGCTGCGCCGGCTCGGGTCTGGTGAACTGCTCCCAGCCCTCACCCTCCCGTCCCTCCGGGGCCCTCCTCGGACGTTCTTCCGCGCACTGACGTGGCCGAGCGCCAGTGCCGCCCGACTCGGCAATGCCCAGCCTCCGGCGACCCTTGCATGCACGTGCAGGAGTCAGTGACCCCCGTCTGCCACGCCGCGTTCATCCCGGCGCCGTGCAGGGTGGCGCCGGCAGTCTGCCTCCCTGCGCAGAACGGCGGGTCGGCCAGGCCTGTCGGGCGCAAACCGCGCACAGGCCTGCGATGGCCATCCGGAGCCTGTCCCGCTCGCGCCTGATGAGGCTCGGCCTCACGCTCACCCTGATGTGCGCTGTTCAAGTGCTTTTATCTGCACGCCGAAAGGAGAAGAGGGAGAGGGTGGGCCTGCCCACCGATGTTGACAGGTGAGTGTCTGATGAGCTACATATGCGCGCAACACGGCCGCAATGGTTGCAGAAATGTGGCTTCCAGAAGTTTCCCTCAAGATGTCGTATTTGGAAGCGTTCTGCATAAAAAAGGTTTGGTGTACTGGAGCTAGTAACGTAGCACACGTGCGTTCCTCAGCACAACCATTAACCAGCAACTTTGCTGGTTGCCCTCTCATCCAAGTATGTTTCACAACACCGGTGGAATGTCACTTATGCATATTTATTGGTTTGAAATGTACACAAACGTGTCATACAACCGTAAGCGAATATGTCATGATAATGTGCCTGCTTCGGTCCTAGATGCAGTTGCCTGCAGCGTACTGGCTGTAGTCAACTCGTTTGCTCGTCTTGCTCGTTCCTTATGTCCACCAATTTGCTAACCAGCTGAAATGCGTACTATCATGCAAATTGGAGCTTAGATATTTCGATTCCTTACGGTCGAATATTCGACAGAATATTCGATTCGGCGCATATTCCAATACCAAAACCCACTCAAATCACAATCAATTTTCCTTGTCGTGTTTGGAATAATGGAAGGGTAACTTCGACATCACAGTGGTAGACGGGATAACATCGGGCCCTGGCAGTTCATCGGTACGTGAGGGCCAGCCAGAGCAAACCGCGCCGGAATGATAACACGTCACAGTGGTAGACGGGATAACATCGGGCCCGGACAGTCCATCGGTACGCGAGGGCCAGTCAGAGCAAACTGCGCCGGAATGACAGCAACTTCGACATCACAGTGGTAGACGGGATAACATCGGGCCCTCACAGTTCACCGGCACGCGAGGGCCAGTCAGAGCAAACCGCGCCGGAATGACAGCAACTTCGACATCACAGTGGTAGACGGGATAACATCGGGCCCTCACAGTTCACCGGCACGCGAGGGCCAGTCAGAGCAAACCGCGCCGGAATGACAGCAACTTCGACATCACAGTGGTAGACGGGATAACATCGGGCCCTGGCAGTTCATCGGTACGCGAGGGCCAGTCAGAGCAAACCGCGCCGGAATGACAGCAACTTCCACATCACAGTGGTAGACGGGATAACATCGGGCCCTCACAGTTCACCGGCACGCGAGGGCCAGTCAGAGCAAACCGCGCCGGAATGACAGCACGTTACGGATGTCCCCAGGAGAGTTATCTCACGGCGCAATTTTCGTGGTGGCCGTTTTGAAAGCAGTCATACGCAGAAATATTGCAGCGTTAAGATCGAAAGGCTTGTAAAGTGATAAAACTCACGAGCCACGGGAAGGAAATACGCAATTTTTTGCCTCTGTTTTGTTCTTAGCAATTTGGACTGGCTCAGTCCTTACGTTTTCTTATGTGGTGAGGAAATGTAGAATACGAAGTCGAAATCAATATCAATCAAACCATGGCATGCCCTTAGCAGTAATTCTACTCTCTGGCCTGATATTCTCACAAATCGTAACGCAGCTGGGTGCGTCCGATAGAATGTTACGCCTGACTAGATAGAATCTACATTTTCTGCTGACCTGAGATCTCCAGTCCTCCAGAAAGGTTCACTCCGGGTGTGAGTCATGCTGACACCAGCGCCTCCCTCCAGTCCAGTCGAGTCCGTCTGCCGGCCAGACCTGCGGGTGAACGTCCTGCCACCGATGGCCAACAACAGCCGCACCGTGCTGAGGGACCTCTTCACGTATATCACCACGCCCCACGAGAAGACGTGTCGAAAAATCACCCGCTTCGGCGGTCAGACAGTGAGTGGTCGCCGTCTTAGCTGTTCATCCAGCTGCAGCCAGTTGTGTGTGTGCCGAACGTCTTTGTGACGCTTAGTATTTGACGTCGTGCGTGACGTCTCTGTCTTGCGAATAACGCGTGCATGGGCGTGTTCGATGCATTTTTTGATGTCACACTAGGCCTTTTCGGAGCGTAGCTGCGCACTTGGAAACATTTACATGCCTGTGGACGATTGCCCGTCCCCGCCTATCCAGTCGATGATGATGGTCAATGATGAAAACCAACTGGCAATGTTTCAATGTAGCACATTGTGTGTAGTGCAATGTATGTAGTGAAAAGTCTTTAGCGCAATGTCACCAAGTGCGCAATGGTCTGCATTGCTGACTGAATGTCTATTGTGGCTTTCCAGACTTGGTTCTGGGACCGAACAGCTGGGTCTGATGGTCATAAGTACGTCTGTATGGACCCGGAGTTCGACATCCTCGGCACCAACCAATGTCTGGTCTACTCCTTCGGAATTTCCACCGACTGGTCCTTCGACTGGGACATGGAACGGTTCGGCTGCTCCGTCTTTGCCTTCGACCCGTTTGTCCGCGAGAAGGCCGGTAACCAGAACGGCACCATCGTGCTCTACAAGTACGCCATCGGGTCGGCGAGCAATGCCGATAACGAAGTCAACGTAAAAAGCTTGGCGCATCGACGCGAACGCTCGACTTTATAGTTGAGCGTTTGGGACACGCCCACAGCCAGATCCACTACATGAAAATGGACGTGGAATACAGCGAGTACGGTGTCCTGAAGCAACAGACGGAGCGCATGCACAGGTCAGCCCTCTTCAAAAACGTGCAGCAGCTTGGTGTCGAGCTTCATTTCAAAGAGTATATGCCGTTGCTGGACCACATGGACTATTTCCAGTCCCTTTATCAGATATTCCTGAAGATGCAGGAGATGGGATTTTATCTGTTCCTCTACGATCCGAACCGACTATTGCCACCAGACCTTGAGGTTCCTGGTTTGAGCCAGAAACTGTACTCGGCCATAGAGGTTGTCTGGCTCAAGACCCGGTGCGTGGGCCAAACGCGGGAGTCCATCTGGCACGCACCGCCACAGACGGCGTGACCGGGACCACACCCGACGGAGGCGTGGCCACGAGACGTGACCGAGACCCGTGCCCCGGGCGTGAGACGGCTGACTGTCGCCAGCCCCAGGCGCCGCCTGGGGCTGGCGACATCACCGCCCAGCGTTATCACCGCCCAGCAGACGTCCGGCAGCGGCGACGGCGGGTCCGCCGGCAGGCGCGCAGCTCCGCGCGCGACGACGGACGACCGACGGTGGCGATGGCGAAACCGTCGCCGCGCCTCTCACGCTCCCTGTAGCGACCGCACGGCCGGGCGGGCCCCGCTGAAGGCGAGGCGACTGGCCACCGTCGCCCCCTCCCAGCTCCGTGCCTGAAGGGGCGCCTACGGAGAAAAGTCAGGCGTTGGATTAAAACTTAAAGAACAAAATGTGTGTCAGAACAGCAAGCCAAATAACTGGTCAAGCTACCATTTTGCTGACAGTTATTTTGTTTTGTTTGGTGTTTGTTCTTTGTCAGCTTGTTCCGAATGGTTTGCATGGGAGGTTTTTGGCTTGAACTTATTGAAAAGTGTGATTGTGTGTACCCCGAACTCAGTGGCCGAATGCGCAGGTCCAGTTCGTCGGATGATGCCGCACGCTGCCTTTCAAATCTACAGCCGCTGTGTACTTACCGCACATCACTCGCTGGAGTATTGCTTTGTCTAGGCCTGTGTCTCCAAGACGAATCGACCGATTGCGTGAATAAGAATGGCAAAAGGTAACTGAGCGATTATGTGCGGAGATAATAAACCTAGGTTTTGTTCACCTCAGTCTGGCTTATTGTATCACCGGCCAAGTCAAGTGAGAAGCTGCCCTGAACACAACTGGTGTGTCATTTATTGTGTCACTTTTTAACTGCAAAACGCATATCAAAAAAAATATTTAAGTCCTGCTGCATTTGATGATTAAAGGAATTATCGGTCGGACTGCCTCACACGCGACGGTGAACTGCCGCACACGACGCCGACAGGGAGAGACTCTCCCCACGCGCCCCGAGCAGCACCTCTTGCACTCCTTCCAAGACTCATACCCGTAACACGATCTGCGTGCGACTGGCCGGCGCCACCGTGACGCATCCCTGTCGGCGTGCCTGCAGGGTAACGCACCGCCCCGAGCCGTGACTGTTCTCCGCACTCAGACATGAATCATCGCCCCACTCGGCTTACATGTTGACCCCCTGTCCCGGGGCACGGTCTACCGCTACACCTGCCGGGGTCAATACGTAACGAAAGCACAAAACCTGCTGAAACCTTTCTTGTTAAGTCAAGGTTATGTGAGGCCATGCTGTATCAGTAAGCCGCATTGCTTATTCAAATCCCTTCCAGATGCGTGCTTTCATGGGGAATTTGGCAACGGGCCGAGCAGGACACCTGTGGTATTATTCAATGGACAGTCTCATAAAAACCTAGTTTCACAGTGATCTTACGGTCAGGTGATATCACAAGGTCGAACTCAAATGGTCAAAGCAGCATTCGAAACCTTGACAATGATATCAATACCTTTCACCTGGTAGAGCTCCCCGATTCTAAAAGTTTTAAGGCAACAGTAGCTGGAGCTGTAACGATTTGTTGGACGTAGCATGGACTGATCACGCGATTTCTGACGAATATGGAGAGTGAGCCGTCGGCCGGCCATACATGGACGTCACACAATATCTTGAGAAAGGGTGCTTCATACGGCAAGCGATGAGACCAATCAACCAGTAGATAAGCTTGGTCTGAATTCGACGCATCCTGCTTTCGTCATGCATCGGTGCGCGGTGGCGTGGGGGTAAATTTGCCCCCACCCCCCACCCCCGAAGGTTTTCCATAACAGCTTCCGAACAGCGCGGCGTAGCCAAGGCAAACGTTCCAGAGCGGTAGGCATTTCAATCGTCAGTCTTTTGGTGGGAGAAATTAGATGTAACTGGTGAGATCGCTGACCTGTGGCAGGACAGGTCAGGCCATGGCGATCAGCGAAGGCAATTCCTAGGAGACCGCTCACTAAGATGCAACAGCGGTATCTTCGACGAAGTCATGCACCTTTGAGATGGTTTTTACAACAAGACACTTGAATTTATGAGCGGGACTAATTCCACTGGCCTTGGGTCAGATATGGAGGTTACTTCGAGGTCAAACCCGATAAGCTATTTAACTGGAAACCTTGCTTTTTTAATAGTTTGTGACGCTCATTTTGATTTTTCCGATCACAGGGACGTCAGTGAAGGTAGTCTTTGAGTCACACAAGTGTCAGAACAGGACATTGACCTTGAGTGAATCAGATTTACACTTTTTGAAGGTCATCGCTCAGGGTAGCCTTTGATATGTATTAAGATATTGAAATCAAAACAATCTCACAACTTTTCAGTCAATGTGATTTCTGAATGTTTAATGAAGTTACTGACCTGAAATAAACATCAGTGACCTTTTGCTAAGTCAAGGTATCTAGGTTAAACGTCGTGGCATAAGGAGGTCTGAGGGATCTTCAGCCACCGACCAGAAGTTTATCCGTATCGAACTTTTTCATCAGAAGGCTGTGACATAGGGATCTCCATGCTGTACAAAGTGTTTTAAAATACTCGCCTTTCCATCCTGTGATTGATGTGACTCTAGCTCACCTGATTTTTAAAGTCTCAGGGGGTCAAATAGACCTCCGCCACCCGGGCGGGATCATGTTCAACCGACCGCCGGGCACGTCCTAAATATTAATATCTTCCAGCTTTTACAATGCTGATCTAGCCGGTTAGGATCGTGGCCAGGATTTACATCAGGTGAACCAAATGTCGACTGTTGGCATATGGCAGCAGGCACGTAGCGGGAACTTTCACCGAGGTAGGGGGACAACGTTAACCTTGGTCTGACACTCACGGCTACCCGCTCTTAGTAATGCCATGGTCATAAAATGACCCTAGCGATCCCAACAGACGTTTTCAAACTCCAAGCCCAACTGATGTTGATGCGATGGATTATTAAAAAACGCTCTTATAGGTGTGAGTGTTCTCCAAGACATAGTAGAATAACTAAGCCCCAGTAAGATAAATGTGCACGTAGCACAGTACAAAATATGCGTAGCAGTGCATATGTTTCACACTTCTTTGACCCAGTGTAACATCAACCCAAGGAGTTACCTGTAATTCGTCACACTATGCTTTTCAACATGGCGTTGATGTGGTTGTTCATAATGAATCATCCTGGAAAGTGCATGTGCCATAAATTGCACACCGAAGGACAACTGGTCATGTTTGACGTAGTTTGACTTCTGATGACATGATCCCACAACCTCAGTCATAATCGGACCTGACATCGCTGGCATCAAATTTGATTGCACGTACAAACAAATAAGTAGTACACCCCAACTACCAGCCGATAAACTGTATTGTCCATACGGCAAAAACACTGACTATCATGGCCTTCAGCTAGGTACCTTGCCTTAAAAACTTTACCCTTTGGTCACCACCTGTTGGAAAGTGCTAAAAAAACTTACCGGATGGTTAAGAAGACCATTAAGTCAGCTACTGAAGACATCAGCATGAAATCGTTACAGGTTGTCAAGTCATCCAAGAAACACCACCGCGGTGGTGGTGGGGTGGGGGGGGGGGGGGGGGCTGTCAGATGCCCTTCTCGAGCGTGGGCTAAGATTCTCAAAGGATATCAGCCGCCAGCCTTCCGCAGTTTGGAACCAAGTACTTTACGCGTGGTACACTCTCTGCAGTATTTAAACTCTGGTGGGATGTAATAACCCCACTAGTATCAATAAACGACCAGTCTGCGGGTTTTCAGATTTAACACACGCCCGGGTGGCCGGCTGGATACCCTTCGCTCGAGTGGAGGGTTAATTTGACCCCCTGAGATCTCGGAACTAAGAGACACCAAACTCACAGGGTGTGTTGGCCTGTACATGACCTCTCCTAGGTGAAAGTTTCAGGCTCCTAGGTTATGACCTTCGGGTCAAATAAGGTCAGCCAGGATCAAATTCCGGATTGGTCTCCAAAGGTCCCCTAGAATCTTGGTAACTGTTCTAAGCAAAATTTCACACGCTCAGTTAAGATCAGTGTCTTTGTTTGACCTTCACAGGCGCTTGGGTGGCCGGTTGGATACCCTTCGCTCGTGTGAAGGAGGGTCAATTTGACCCCCTCCCCTGAGATCTCGGGAACTAAGAGAACTAGAGACACCAAATTCACAGGGTGCGTTGACCTGTACGTGAACTCACTTAGGTCGAATTTTAAGGTTCCCAAATCATGACCTTCGGGTCAAATCAGATCAGCCAAAGTCAAATTCCAGAATGGTCTCTTAAGGGCCCTGATTACCTAGGCAACTGTTCTAAGCAAAATTTCACGCAGAAATTTAAGATAAGTAACCTTGTTTGACCTTTAAAGGCCATGGTGACCAAAATGATATAAGACTGCTTTGAGTTTTGCATTTGAATAAGGGACAAATATTGCGCTAGGCAGTATGCTCCTAAAAGCAAAATGTTGACGTGGGTCAATCTAGGTAAGTGACCTATTCTGACCTATCAGAAGTCCATAGAAGGTGTATGATACGGTTTCTGCTATCAATATATTCGAAATGAGTACCAGAAATCAGCCCATACAGCACGGCCGAGACCAATAAATTAGGTTGATTTGACCTTGGTCTGACCTTCATACCTTACCCTAGGTCAATGCTAGTGTCAATGTTGTGTTACCTAAGAAAACATTTTAGAGATGTATGGCTTCGTTTAACACTTCGTTGGTTGATCTGATTGAACGATTCCATCGAAATTGGCTTCGCTGAAACCATGGTCTGACTTTGAGCTTTCATAGTTCAGCAACCGTACAAGGTACATCTATATTTTCTCATGATAAACGATCAGCTATTCAATTGTCTACAGCTATGCAAAATTTGGCGCGGCTACGCCACGCCGTTTAGAAATCAGTCTGGGAAAACCTTCGTGGTGTGGGAGTCAATTTGACCCCCGCTCGAGCCTGTGTTAAGTTGTCAGACTCATCCATTTCCCCCAATTATCATCCTCTCTATCCGCTTCTATAACATTTATGCAAACATAATTGAATATATGGCCGATAGCATGCCACAGCAGAGTTTGAATAACCACACCTAGACTGACTTCTATAGCAAAACCAACACCCAATCGGCCATTATATTTGACCCTCCACTATATTCACAGCATCTGCCAACAGCAAACCTGCTTTTAATAGACGTGGCAAATTGTTAACTACCGATAATATACTTGATGACATGAAAGCTCACTTTAATCGATTATCGCTCTTCAGTATGTACACATC